CATCACACACACTCAAAGCCTAGTTGATTTGATGTAAGAAATGATTGTGTTTCATCCCGTAAACCACACACACACACCTTCTACCCTAACAAAGATACCATTTGATCCTAGGAGAAGGTGTGTGTGTGTGGTTTACGGGATGAAACACAATCATTTCTTACATCAAATCAACTAGGCTTTGAGTGTGTGTGATGCTGTGTGTTGAGAACATCAAACAATGTCTTTGCCACAATAAGACAAGAAAAGTGTTTGAATGTGTTCATATAGGTGTGTATTTGTCTGTGTGTATCTCGGGAGTTGGGTTGGTGTGTGCGAGTGTGTATGTATGTGTGTGCTGCATATAGAAATATTCTTGTCTAGATCAAATGGAGACTTTCTAGCGTTAAAAGTGTGTGTGTGTGTGTGTGTGTGTGTGTGTGTGTGTGTGTGTGTGTGTGTGTGTGTGTGTGTGTGTGTGTGTGTGTGTGTGTGTGTGTGTGTGTGCACCCATGTGGGAATTCATAACCATTCTGCTTATTTTTTTTCTTTGTAAACAATTATTGTGGGAGCTTCATAGTGATTATTCCAAAGACTCGTTAGGATGGGTGGTTTTGTAGTCTCCTCCGTGAACATGTTCATCTTTAAACTCCACTAACGTCTTAATGCAGCCATTTACAATATGCAGCATTTAGGCGTTGTTAATGTAGAAGTAAAAATGGAGTGCATGGAGAACACATGGGAATCAAGCCCCATAATCTCTTGATATAATAATAATTATATAAGAATATACAGTATTTCTAGCCCTCAGAGGTTGTGTTCTTGACATATGTGCAGCCACAAACATGGATGAAAAGCTGGAGCCTCCATCAAAGTGTATAATAAGGCAGAAACCATTTTTCAAAAGACAGGCTGCATAATACATACACATTTACATTTAATCAATTGCTCATATTTGTCACATTAATTTATCCAATTTACTTGTCTTTACTTACATTTACAATGTTGCAAGACATCTATTCCCTGTTTGCGTTGCCTCGGGCCCAGCATTGCTAAAATGACAGGAGGCCGGGGGCCAGTCAAAAAGAAAGTTGTTATAATATTTATCTGATAAAATGAATAACTATCATAGGACCCATAACTTATCTCTTTCAATGATTTAAGGAAAATCAGGGGTTAACCCGAACCTCTGTCAGGGCGTCTGAGGGCACCTTTATTCATACATACATTGAAAGTATAAAAAAATATCCAACTGCGAATTAATTAATGTTCATTATGAAAAAAGAAATGTACAGGCACTCTAAATGTAATGAACTGATGTCACATGTAAATTGTCTGGTGAATCCCAAATTAGGGGTTGCTAAAATTCTTACAAAATATGTATTTATTTATCAGTTATTTAAACATAATTGTATTTTATTCAAATATATCCTTAATTGTCATGGTGGCACCCTTTAGCTGGCACACAATGTGCCCTAAGCTTCTCATTTGGATACGCCACTGCCCGATTTTCCAAAGTGTATGTACAGTATTGATGCGGCAAAAACCAGAAACTTCACCTGGTTTGATGCCTTCTACTTTATCTACTACAGTTTTCTGTCTGAATGTGTGTTTTTGTATCAAATCATACACTTTATAACGAACGTCTCATAGCTCACTTCAAACGTTTTCAATGTGATTTTGTGCAATTATTAAAAATCATTGTGAAAGGGTTACTTTTAAGGACTACATCAGACAAAGTTAACAGAAGGAGTAGAAAATAATTAGTTTACTTCACAGTTTATCGGCTGTAACAGATTTTTTCGGTTTTAGTAGGCGCTAAAGTTTTACACAAGCTTTATTCTAAAACACTATAGTCAAACGGACAATTATATTAAACATTTTTTTAATCGCATGATCTATAATCTCAAGCCCCTGAACAGATTTGAAAAAGATTAACAGTAGAAGTATAATACATTGTTTTAAGTTAACCTATAAAAAAAGAAGCTTTGGCAGACAGCAATGCTTACTCAACCTATGCAATCATAAAAAACATTGACATAATATCACATACACGCTAAATTCTAAGTAGTTCGGCTTAAAGGCATTATAATACTGTATTTCAGTTCTTTGAGATAATGAATATTTCAGATTTGACTCTGATATTTTTTATAAACAGTTTGTCTCCCCTCTCTCTCCCTGCAGTGTCGGAGCCAACCCCCCATCAGGCTCAGGCCGTTCTCCAAACAGCGGGTAGGTAAACACTCGAAACCCTAAAAAACTTCCATGCTGAAGGAACAGGACGTACGCACACACACAGCTGACTGTACAAAACATGCCACAGATTTCGATCAGAGCACACAAAACATAGCGTGCTGATATCTTGGTTCAAAACATCACATGAGATCTGAGATCAAGCGTACTGGAACTTACTAGAAAGAGAGGATTTACAAGCAGCATTACACATTGTGTTTCATAAGTTTTAAAGAATTTTCAAGGTCATTTAAAAGGTTAGACCTCTGCTCAAGTTGGATTTAAGTAGAGCTTGCTGGGAGTTCAGTGAATTCACCAGACTCAATGTACCCATCAGGAATGATAAACGTGGAAGTTATACAATTAACGTTATACAAAGAATTAGCAAATGGTCTTCCTGACAGTTCACAGTTTTTTGACAGCAATTAAGCTTTTGATGTTATGTTGAATTATGTTATCTCCTATCACTATAGGTCCTGTGGTTAAAATGTTTCCACACCATAAACAAACATAGACCGCTTTTTTGTCCTCTGGAACCTTCCACTACATTTTCTGAGAAAAGTTAATGTTTAGGAACTTTTGTGCTACGACTGCAAGGACCAAGATCTATTTTAAGTTCTATTACTTTCCGAAAGTTACTGAAAAGTTCTGGAGCATCGGGGTGGGCTTTGCAGCGCTCAGGTTTCAGATTGGTGGAGTACTCGTGTGTCACAGGATAACATGAACAACACACACATCTTTTCCACTCATGACTGGAGGCCACTGCTTTGATCTTCCGTGTTTGGCTGCCATCCTCTCCTCCTTTCATTCTTCTTTTACCATTTCTTGTTCGATTTCATACTATCTATAGTATCATATAACCTCATTCAGAAAAAAATCATGAAGACAATAGTTTTTCTATAGAACTTTTAAATAATAATCCTGCCGCTTTCGCACTTTACTAGGCTGATTCCCCCTCGGTCTCAAACACATCTTTCATCTCACACTCCCTATTCTCTCTGTCAGTCTAGTGCAGGGGTCGGCAACCCGCGGCCCTCGAGCCGCATGCGGCCCTTTAAGCCCTCTGCTCTGGCTCCCTTGAGCTTAGACAAAAATAAGAAGGAAATAAAATAAAAATATTTGTGGGACTATTTATATTTTGTTGCACGGTTGAAAATGTTTCGTATCTTGTATTTTGAGGTGATACTGTGACACATAAATAAAAAACAAAACGGTTTTAATTAGGTCAACTAAAATATGCGTCACATCATGCTACGGTCCCGCGCTAGCGCCTTGTCTTGCGGGTGAATAACCTGACCCCCGGCTCGACGAGCGAACTATGGATAAATCAAAGAAAAGTACCGGAGGAACACAGGATTTAATTCTGTGTGGACAGAGTTATATGCTTTCACAGCAAACAATGCTGGTTTACCGGTATGTTTGATATGTAGAGAGAAGTTGTCAAAGGTGCTGCAGCCTTTACGTATCGAGGAACAACATGGGAGAGGAAGACAGACAATCTTCAGTCATAATTCAATGGGGTATGTAATCTATTTCAGAAAACACTTTTTGTTATATTCCATGGAATGCTCTTAACGTCCCGATAGCAATGAATATATTAAATGCTTTGACAATAAATACATAAAAAAATGTATCTCTGGAAGCCGAAGCGATGTAAAAAGCACGACCAATCATCTTAGCCGGCCCGGCTAAAATAACTGGATGGCCTACCTGCTTGTCAGCCTGTCAGCCTTCCATCTGTGCACAAATTTATCTCGTGCCCTCATTGGTCATGTGCGCGTTCGTGTGTGTTGGAGGAGGGGCTCTGTGAGGAAGTCTGAAGGAAGAGGCATATTTTTTCCGGTTGTGTTCTTTTCAAATTCTAGTGCACTCGAGCTGGTTTCTC